AATAATGCTAAACACTAGAGATACCCATGGCCAGTGGGAGAATTGTAATGGTGATAAAAATTTTGGAAATCTGATTTGAATCATTTGGGTCATTGGACTCGGCACACCAATCTGGGATCCCAAATGGCCCATTGTCTGTCTGCATTATCATGACCGATGATGGTTCCACTTTGCCTATTTATTGCTTGAAATGTACAATGAAATCGTACTCTTCCTTCTAACAGTTGGCAAGGTTGTTGGTGCCAGATGGGCTGGTTTGAGTATTTCAGAAACGGCCGGTCTCCTGGGATTTTCACACACAACAGCCTCTCAAGTTTATACAAAATGATGAGAAAAATAAAAAACATCGAGTGAGCAGCAGTTTTATGGATGGAAATGGCTTGTTGATGTGAGAGGTCAGAGGAGAATAGCCAGACTGGTTTGAGGTCATAAGCCAAATAACTACTCTTTACAACCACGGTGGGCAGAAAAGCATCTCAAGTTGTACAAAACATCAATCCTCGAGATGAATGGGCTACATCAACAGAAGACAACATTGGGTTCCACTCCTGTCAGCCAAGAATGGGAATCTGAGGCTACAGCGGGCACTTGCCCACTGAAACGTGGCAGTTGAAGACTGGGAAAACACTGTGAAAAATATCCGGTTTCTTTGAGTATACATGTGTATGCTGTATATGACAAATTAAAGGAGATGGTGACTGTTATGCTGTAGCATTTTTCTCTCATGGTTTGTGTCCATTTGTAACTGTCATCTAATGTGTAGACTTAGTCCAAGTTCTCTCAGAAATCCCCCACAGTTTCATGAGATCATCAATAACATCATATTAAGTCATCAGCCTGACTCACTAACACACTGTTAGCTTAAGGCTGTGGTAATCTATTCTATAATTTCCCTCTCATGTTTTAGCAGATGCTGATGACATTTTTGAATGTAATTAAATACTTCCAGCCCTCAAAAGCTACTGGATATTGTGGAAGTATTTGGGGGACATGCCATAACATTAAAGGATGAAACGCAAAAACCAAAAAAGATGGCCGCTTAGTCACTCTGCAGTTGGTATGAACTTGTCATTGTCGAGCTCGCATGGATGGAGTATTAAATTGCTTTATGAATGAGTAACCATGTTAATGGGCACTTAATTAGGTGTGTAATTAAGAGCACAGCTAAAACGTCTGCTTTTAATGACATTACTGTAATATTCAGCCTGTGCTTTTTGTGTCATTTACCTGGAAAAAGCACATTCTGTGAGTTCTTTACATCAGGCACTTTCCCATCTGAATGTTTGATAACTTTTAAACAGATTTTCAAAAAAAAAAAAACAGTTGGTTTAAAAAAAAAAAAGAAGAAGAAAAAGCTGGTGATCATTGAGCGCTCACTTCAAAATAATGACAAACTAATTAAAAGTGCACCAGTGAAAGACTATAGGAAATATTTATCCATCATCATTCAAGACAAAATCCACCCTGAACAATGTGCATGACAATATTTATGATCAATATGTGAGCTCCAATGGTGCAAAAATTTGTTTTATGATTAAAGTTGAGTTTGTTGCCTTAAGCTTTTCATTGACAAGTTGGTCTAACTGTTTCCTTCATCTCTACAACAAATGCCCTTTAGTCTGTCCAGATTTCTCACCTCCTCATCTGCTCAAACAAACAAGGTTCCAAAGCTTCAACTTTCATGCTAATGTCACAGTCAATGACACTGCACCTGTCATCTCGTTGACTGCTATCTAGCCGAGCCGAGCTGCATTTATATGAGCCGTTCTGCAGCTCCGATGTGTTCTGGAGCTTCATGACCAATGCTCACTTTCTTGACTGTTTCTACGCTGGGTTTCTCATTAATATGACCATGACAGTGACTGGTATACAATTAGCTATTGCTTTTCTATTTTTGTGCAAGTAACTGTGCTAACACTATCTGCCTGTGATGTCAACACAACTTCTCAAAGAAAGGCAGCACCAGCAACAAACTGCTAACCACAACATAAATATATTTCAATAGAAACATATTATTAATGTGTTTCAGGGTGGAGTTTAGGTATTTAGTAGCTGAGTGTAATTTTTTGGCACTTCAAAATGTCTATTCAGTTTTACTTCATACATATAGGAGGATGGAAACCCCCCTAGCACTACTGCCAAGGTAACATTTATATGATCCATTATGATGATGTATAAACATGCAGGATGGAAAGCCACAGCATTTGTCTGCCTAACGCTGCCGTACGTCAAAGGCCTTATTTCAGCTTCCCTCAGTGTTCCTGAATTATCCACAGTAAAACCATAGCAACATGTCTAAACTGGCCGTGCTGATTCACCAGAGGCAATGTGCGTGGAGGAGTTGCTGCCTCCTACAACGTTCTTCATGCTGGCTGCTACAACATTTTTGCTTTCTTCCCCCCTGCACTATAGTCCTTGTCACTCCTGGTCATCGTGATGATAAATCAAAAGCAAAATGGCGCGTCTGTTTAATGTGGATTACACCGTCTCTCGAAATATCGACAACAAGGGTGGTAACTGAGGAATCATTCTTTCATTTGGCTTTAACAGAGTCCCATTAATCTGGAGTTGTTGTACTGTAACACTCCATGCTGGTCACACTACTCGAGATGAGATTGAAAGGAACTGAAAAAGACACAGTAATTCCACATGACCACATCATCCTCGTCCACTCAGCATCCATGGGTACGTAAAACTAGCGATTTCATCAGTCGTCTTCTAAGATTATTACTCACACACCGTATGAAATGATCCCAATAAAATCTATATTCTATAACAGACTGTGCAATAACGTGTTCGCCATATCAAATCATACAATGAAGATCCTCTAAAGGTAGATCTGTGAGCGATGAATAGAAATAACTACATTCTGCTTACGTATAATAGTAGCAATGTTATGTTTAGAGAAAATGTTTTAAAAAGCAAAGAGGAGGAGTTTGGAGCCTTTTGAGACTGGGTAAAAGAGAACAATATGGAATGGTCAGTCGTCAAAAAAGAGCTTAAGGATATTATTTCTGTCCATTAGCATGCGTGGCAGATTTGCAACTCACTGTATGAGGAGCTGGGCATCTATGATGCCTGTGATCTATGACTTATGACATCATCCTATGCTGTTCTCATATTGGTGGTTTTTAGACGTGCATCACAGCAATGGTCACACTCTTAATTTTAACAAAAAGGTCATGACAGGAACAGAACTTTGTCGCTAGCTGTTTTCGGTTGCAATGGCACTGAATTGTTTGCCGGTGAGCATGTCACGTTATGTGTTTCAAGACCACCGATCTCAAATCACGGCCAAAGAGTTCTTTCACCAAGTGCGAGTCACAGTGTAAAGCCAGCTTTAATGGCCAGCTTTTAAAACACCAGCATAGTTAATAACTTCCCACTTCTTAAAAAACTTCCCAGGACATCATATTGAGAGTTGGTTTGAGGTTACATTATTTCTCTCTAGACCAACGTAGGATACTTCACCAATCACAAGACTGTTATAAACTGTTAAAACTGTAGTTAAATCTGTAGTTAAATGGAACGAAGGCTAGACTTGCAGCAAATCTCTCGAGAAAGAAAATCCTCCTGTCTCAGTAAAGTATGAGCGCATTTTTCACACTTCTGTGTTTTCACAAAAAAAATAATAAAAAATGCCTGACCAAATTCAGCCTCAAATTTATCAGCTTAATATCGATGGCTGCTTCGACTGTGCCAGAAGGTGCCAAAAAAAACAAAAACGAAACAAACAAACAAAAAAAATAGACAATTTGCCAATTCAGAGCCTAAAATGGTAACTAATTAAAATGCATTTTGTGAACTGTAAGCTGTATAGTCCTTCTTCTGTTCTCCTCCTGATCCCCAACCTTAAAAATCGTATTAATAGATGAATAAAGCAATGCTGTTTCTGCTGGCTGGGGCTGCTTTGAAATTCAACAGCTCTAATCGGTTATATATGTATGAGACAGCTCTTCACATACATACTTTAAATGGGTCACCCCATCCGGAACCTGGGGGCCTCAAACTGATGACCACACAGAAATCAGTTCCAGAAAAAAAATAAATAATTTTTATATATATATATACATATATATATATACACACATATACATATATATATACACACACACACACACACACACATTATATATATATATATATTTTTTTAACAAAATACGCAGACAACTTTCTGAAGTGGAGGAAGAGCAGTGACTAAGTTAAAACAAGAGCTTCCTCTGCCGCACTGAGCCAGATGTCCAGTGAATAATTGATGTTTTTGGCTCCTTGCTTTGCATCTGCCTGCCTAATCAGTGCCATTCAATAATGTGGCATGTTTATATGGCATCAGCATTTTAATCACTTGAAAGGCATTTTTTTAGTGGCTCTTAAGCAGGTTTGTGTGTTTGTTTCAAAATGTTTTATTCTTGATGCATCAATGTCCAGGATTATTTCAAGTTCTGAATGAAGCACGGGAAATAAAATGCCGAACATGCAATAATCAACAAAGCAACACTTCGGCTATATTAGACAATTTGAGTCAACAAGGGGCTTCATGTTTTAATATAGAGAAAGGCTTCGGTTCAATCTCCTTTCCCTCGAGACTTCGAATGTCACATTTGCATGCGAGGCTCGAGGTTGGACAGATTCATAATGTCTTGTAGTTTGGCAACAACTCAATGTCATCTAATTGTCGCTGGGCATCTGCCTTGGACCATCAAGCAGGCATCTTATAGTCGGTGTAAAATTGGTAAATTGAATTACCGTTCCTGCACTGCATGCAAGCTTTTATGCACAACTGTGCCTAATGCAAGATTAA